GTTCTGTGAATACCACAAACGAACATTACATTTTTATTTATATAGATTTGTGACATTTACATGCCGCCATTCTCACCTCGAGTGGCTTACAAGATATATATACATACATTCTATTATCAGCATAGTACAATATCAGTATTTTATAGTACTATATTGTACTATATTACTATATTTTATTTATTTATTTATTTATTTATTTATTTATCAGTTTTATATACCGCCACTCCCCAAAGGCTCGGAGCGGTTTACAATATACATATGCAATACATTACATTTAAAATCAAAGAAAAAATTCAATCAGCAAGATTCAAATGCCAGCCTAAATAAATAAATTTTACAAGCTCTACAAAAAGATAGTAAGTCCCGGAGAGCTCGTGTTTCCGCTGGTAAGGCATTCCACAGGTAAGGAGCCACCACCGTGAATGCTCTATGCCTAGTAGACATCAGGTGAAAGGTCCTAAAATTGGGAACTTCAAGGAGATTCTGATCGTCTGAACTGAGTGATCTTGAGGGTTGGTAGGGGTGAGGCGGTCCCTCAGGTACTCCAGCCCCAGGCCATATAAGGCCATAAAGGTAAGAATCAGCACTTTGAAGGTAATATTGTATATTGTAGGGCAAGATGGATGGATGGTATCCTTGAAGTGACTGGATTGACCTTGAAGGAGCTGGGGGCGGTTACAACCAACAGGGAGATCTGGCGTGGACTGGTCCATGAAGTCACAAAGAGCCGGAAACGACTGAACGAATGAACAACATATTGTACTATACAATTATATTGTAATATTATTAGTAATATTACATGTAAAATAAAATATATAATTATAATTATGAATATCCTCCAATATGAAAATCTTATGATGAGTCATTCCAAAATGAAGAAAGAAATAATGCCAGAAGATGAGATTAATGATGCAACTGGACTCAAGCCAAAAAAAACCCTTCAATTGCTAATATGCTCAGACATGAAAGGAAACTCCAAAGCTGCACAACATTATATTATACCTGATTTGAAATATATTTCTAGAGACATGAAACAGATGCAGAGCTTTGTATTTTGTATATCTGCATATTCTGATCAAGTTATGAAAGTAGGCACTGGGCAGTCAGGAACCAACTGTATGAAACACAAAACCTCAATACGTCACAACAATATCTCTCTACATCACATCAATATCTCTTTAGTCCAGGTGTAGAATCTTCAAGTATTCATTAGCTCTCACGAAAACTTTAAGCCCCATCTTCACACCATGTTGCCAGTTTTGCCTAAATCAGTTGCTACTGGATTTGGTGGGGGATTTCCTAGGCTTCCAAAATTGGACCAAAATAGCCAGTTCCTATGGACTTCTGTGTGTGCAGTTGACTCATTTTAGGACAATATACATGACACTGAAAGTATAGAGGAAGGTGATAAGGACACCAATAGCCATGTGGCCTGCATGTAATGCATGGATGGAATTTCCCCCAGATAGTCCAGCACCTGATTACCAGAAGTAACTAGTCGGATACCTTCACAGGCAAAGCACAACAACATAATCCTGTCCTGTTACTTGACTAGAGCATGTGGGATTCAAAGGTACAGTGTTTAACATACGTGTCGGTTCAAAAACCCACTGTGTGAACTTGGGCCCCAGTGTTAACTTAGGGTTGCCATAAATCAGAAATGACTTGAAAGCATACAGCAACAAAGGCACTATTTAGCTATCAAGGTTAATAGGCTTATCACCAATCATTCATTAGTCATGTCTACCCAAACAGAAATAACAGGTTCCACCAAAAAAAAGAGGAAGAATAGGAGAAGAAAGCTGACTTTAAGAGAGAGGAGTATTTAATCACATTCCTTGGGAAGAAGGATAAGATGGGCTGCACAGAAGGTATGTTCCCAAAGCTATGCTATTTCTGTTTTTGGGTGGATGCTGCGATCTCCATCCATTCCCGCATACTGCTGCAATTATACTGTTGTTCATTGCAGTGATTGACAGAAAGGAATCACCGATTCCTTTGTATAAACTAATACATTTTAGGGTTGATGATTAAAACTCTCATAGTTGATTAATCATCAGGCGTCTAATCAATGAAATTTAAATGTATTTGCATATTACCAAAAACGTAATTATTATAGGTATTTTTAAAGGACATTATGCCCTTAAAGAAGTTTTTTAAATGAACAAAGAGCTACTTTTCACTATCAGAACTCCAGTCTGCCTGGTGTTGGGTTTTAAAGGATTAAAAAAGCATACGCCAATTTGCCTTCCCATCTCAACCATACTGATTGCAATTTGCCCCAATCAACAACTGAACTAAAGCTTTGCTGGCTTAATCTACCAATTACATTGATTAAAGATGGATCTGATATAGATTCAACAAGTCTTTGCTCAGATGGGAACACCACTAATCTGAACATATAGAACATGATCAGGAACCTGAGGAATCAGGAATCTTCCTGTAAAAGTCACCAAACCTGATATGAACTCGTAAACTGATCAGTATAGGTTGATATCCCTTATCTGAAATGGTTGTGACCAAAAGTGTTTTGGATTTGAGAAGTTTTTTTTTTCTAGATTTTGGAATGCCTGTATTTGTGTACATAATGAAATGTCTTGGAGCTGGGACCCAAATCTAAACAAAATTCAGTTATGTTTCATATATACCCAACACGCATAGCCTCAAGGCAATTTTATACAATGGTTTTCATAATAGTGTGCATTAAATAAAGTGTGTGTGCACTGAACCATCAGAAAACAAAGGTGTTGCTATCTCAGCCATCCATGTGGAATGTTTTGAATTCTGGAGTATTTCCAATTTCAGAATTCTGAATAAGGTGTCCTCAGCCTGCACTTGGATACAAGACCATTAAAATAATAGGTCTATAGGCCGTTTTTCAGGGGAATGAACTAGCCACACCACCTCTGAATATTCCTTGCCTTAGAAAATCATTTTATCCATGTGGTCACTACAAGTCAACAGACAACTTGAAGGCACATACAGGATCTTGTCACATGAGGGGTAGGGCAAGTGGGGAGAATCATCCTCTAAGGACTTCATCACACACAGTAAAATCAGCGTTTCTGCACATTTAAGAAATGGCTACTGACAGAGCCCTTCACAAGACACAAGCTCATACCATGGGTTTCAGGTATTTCTCCATTTCTAAAGTGTGTTTTTCCCCAAAATATTAATTGAAAGCTTTGAAGCCAATTGTTTCCCCGGCTTCACAAGGCCCCATTTCTCTTCACTTTAAAGATGAAATCCACTGGAATCAGTCCTACATCATTTGATGGGCTCAGTAGAACTCTGTCTTTAAAGTGAAGAGAAACAATAAAAATAAGACTTTCCCCACTGCTGTAGCCCAGCCACCTATGTGGCTCCTTTTCACCCAAGATGAAGATCTACTTAGCCCACATATTGCTCAGTCAACAGGAATCAATCAACGAATCAAATGTTTATTAAAGAAAAGAGCGTTCTATAGAAAAAAACTAGTTCAAAATACATTCCAAGGTAAAGAGTATTAAAGTATTTCCAAGGTATACGTATAAAGCAAAACGAAAGTACACCCAAAGTATAAGTATTCTTGAGGCAGCAATAAATAATGTCCTGCACTGACAGTAAAGCCAAAATGCTCAAAACTTGGATCAAAAACTGTATCCAAATGAGATTCCCCACTTCCAAACAGGAAAACATGACATGAAAGCAAGGCCAAAATCTCAAATCATGGAGAGCAAGGAAAAGGTGACTTTCTTCAAAAAATACAAAGTTATTCTCACACAGAGCAATACAAGGGATCAACTTAAGAAACCAAATTGATTCTCATTTAGACACTATCTAACAAACACCTGGAATCCCTCTGTTTATCTTTCAAATGCTGAGAAAACCTTAATTGCCTCTACTTGGTACTATCTCACCATTGCTGAAGACACTGCATTATGGACAACTATCCAGGGTTTTCTACCTCCCTCACACCCACAGAGACACATATGCTTGGCTGGAAATGTGAAACACTGCAGAAGTAGAACTAGAAGCAGCACAATTCCTGAAGCCAGGAGATATATAGCAGCATTATTGTAAAATAATTATTTTTTGCCAAAGTACTAATCTCAGGTGTTTCTGTGCCATCACTGTGTTTACTGGTGATTAGACTTTAAAATACTGGTGTAAGAGAATGCTATAACAGAATGTCCAGTCCTAGAGAGGGCTTAGACTGAATATACGTTAGACATTACCCTTTGGCTCATCCCATGGGGGAAAGCATTGATTGCCCAGCTTTCCCCCATTGATCCAATACTTACAAGAAGTCTCCCCTGTTGCTGTTTGTTTTTAATTTTATGCAGAGCCATACCAGAAGTAGATCTATGTTGTGGGATGAGAACCATCAGGTTTCATTACAAAGGTAAAGGAAAAAACCAGTGCATGCCACCAAAAAGTACCCCACCTGATGAGGTCAGTAGTGTGGATGTTAGGATCTCTAAACACTACAAGCAGGGAGAATTCTAGTCTGACATTTGATTACAAAGGATATTGTCTTTATATTTTGTTTGAATTCTTCATGAGTCTGTTGGAGATTGTCCTAGAATCCATTGGACGAACTTCTGTTTAGAACTAATTTAAATAAATAAAGAGTTAATATCTAAGAGAAACAGAAAAAAAGTTATAAGTACTTTGAAAGGAATAATGCTCAATATCCTTTCAAACACTGCTGCCTCGGTCTGTTGATCTGTGTAGTCTGGAGTCAATCCCACTGAACTCACTAGATTTACTTCTGAGTAAATATGTCTAAGAGCAAGCTGCAGGAAGCTTATTTGTGGCACTTTGAATTGCAATTGATTTACTAACTCGGGCTTATAAATCTCTGAGTATGGAGGAAGTCTTGACCATATGGGAGCAGTGAGCAGCTGTACTAGGGGTTAATTTTGTAATCATTCTTTAGTATGGTTATGATCCCAACACCAGCTCAGTCAGTAATACAGTAGAAAGGAGAGGGAGGAACCTAGGAGAGAGAGGGAACGGAGTGCTTGTGTATATGCATGCATTTCTCTCTGCGGCATCCAAGCTGTCTCATATCTTATTAGAAGCAACCGTTCCCATGCTTCACAGCATACTGTGGACAAAGCATTACCCATGGGTGACTGAAAAAGGACTACTTTGCCTTGGACAGCTCTCTCTCCTGTCAAATCCTCCTGCTACAGAATTTTTCAAAGCCCTGTGTGCATTCATCAAAAGAATGAACAGATAAGCTCCAAACTGCATTTTCTACCACAGAAACTAATCTGGAAAGTGAAGCATGGATAAACTTAATAGTACCATATTTGGCTTCGACCACAATATTTCCTTACTCCTGTCTGAGCTCGACTATGAAAATAATACATTTTACTGCAGGAATCATCGTCAGCTTTATAAAGGTAGGTACCTTTGAAAAATAAACTAGATAGTTTCACCTGTAACTAATCTATAGTCAATAATTTAAGCAAGATTTTAAGTGACAAACTGGTTTTTTGTGGATGTGTTTTGATGAAAGCGAATGCTAGAAATTAATGTAGTGACTTTCTGATTATAACTGCATTTAAAGAATAATGTACAGGTTGACAAGAAAAAATAGCCGTTGTAAGTCAAGACAGAAAATGTTCAAAAGAGAAAGTTAAAACACTAGAAAATATCAAATAGCTTTTCTCAAAGAAAATCAGGACTGCTGTTATGAACAGTATTATACATAGAAGACATAAATAGATTAAATATTACATGGTACAAAAGAGAAAAAATAGATTCAACTATAAATCATGTAGAGACCTATGTTGCTCTCCTGGTAGCTGATAAGCTTTGCAAACCTCCTAAGTCAGTGGTTTACAATTCTTCACAATTTGTGAGGTGTTCGATTGCAATAAGAGGTGATAAAGTACACGCAGAGTATGCCAGCTTTCTGAAAGGAAGCATGTGGTGTATTCCTGGTAGATAAATCAATGAATCTAAAAACAATTACAAACTATACTTGACAGAGCAACTGATCCAAATACACGCCAGATCTGTGTTTCATCGTAGCTAGATGTAGCCTTTTCCAAGCTTTTTGCAGAACCTGAACTAATATTACAATCCAACCACTGTGACAGTTTTTTACCCTTTTAGGACAGAACCACATGTTTGGTAGCAAATACAGAATTCCCAATATGATGTCAAAAAAGAGATGGGAAGGGGATACTGGTGAGGAAGAAATAATAAGCAGAAATGGCTGCTTAACTCTTCCTCCATTTATCACCTTTCTTACAGGTTTCCTCTCTGTTCCTCAAGCCCAGCTACCCATCTTAAGTTAACTAGCAAGTAGAACTCATAAACCCATCTGGAAGAGAAGTAACTGGAGGGCCCTTCCACACAGCCTTATATCCTAGAATATCAAGGCAAAAAATCCCACATTATCTGAATGTGGACTCAGATAACCCAATTCAAAGCAGATATTGTGGGGTTTTCTGCTTTGATATTCTGGGATATAGGGCTGTTTGGAAAGGCCCTGGAGAGGGAGCAGGCTGAGGAAATGTAGCCAGTGTGGAAATGAGTTGAGCACCTTTCCTCTTACCTCTCATTTTTCCAAAGCTGGAAAATTGGCTTTTTTGCTCACTGATCATGCTGATGAGGTGATTCTTGTAGCTGTCCTACAGAAATGCTGTTTCTAGGCTCTGAATTCTTTCCCATGCAAATTTCACTTAACTCTTGCACACATGTTGGATTCCAGTAGTTAATTCCGGCTGGAAATTCCATAGCTGCCAAATGCGCTGTTCCAACTGTAGCTGAAACAGGACAGTTACAAAGACAGGGCTTTGGGACAGGAAATTTTAGCAGGTGCACAGTTATGGCACCGGATAGAATAGGACAGAAGCAGATGAGAGAATGCAGGGATATAGCTATAGGTAAGGGGCAAAATGAAAGCAACCCCCGCTCATGCCACTGCCTCTGCCTCCGCTCCCCTAGTCAATGTTTCTTTCAATCTCCAAATTTCTAGTATTGCAATAATGTGAAACATCAGTTGAATATTCAGCAATACAATTTAGACATCAAAGAAAAAGAGACGGGACAGTTAACAAAAGCAGTGTGAACAGTTAATACATGTATACCTCAGTGAAGTACATGTGTTCCTGGGCATTATGCCTTTCACAGAAACCTTGTCATCAGAGGCAGGTGTAAATGGAAATACTCAGGTAGATTCCTACAGCACAAAAAAGTAGACTGATAAACAACAAACATTTTATTCAGAACTAAAAATATGCACATATGAAATTAACCTCTCCAGAGAAGTCTTGCACAAATAAACAAAATACATTGAATCTTCTGGAAACCAAGGCTTATTCCAAAATCAATCCAGGGATTTTTTTTTCCCCCAGTGGCCACTCTTCTTATGATTTGGACTTCCATAGATAGAATTACAGATCTATCCCCTTTAAGAATGTGTTTAGGAGTATCTGGTGAGGCAAACATACCTGCTTTCCCTTTTCCCTCTCTTTGTTATTCATACCTGCTCAGTAAGGAATTCTGGAGGCAGCTGTTCACCTTGCCTGGTGTAAGCTGAAATATAAAATTATAATATGATCAGCTAGAGCAGAAGTCCATTCTTTCCCAACTCAAGGTATAGTGCATTGGTTACTGAAGACATGCTGCTTCCTAAAGTCTGTGTTTCTCCAGACCTCCTTCCCAATGTAAATGCTTCTTTTAAAAAGGCTCCAGATAGAGAGAGGACAAGAAGGAGCTTGACAAGCATAAAAAGACTGATAAAAGAAGGATTTGGGGAGTAAAAGAAAATTTCACTGGGGAAGGTGAGCAGAATTGCCACTGGGAGAGGGAAATACTCTCATTTTACTTTGCCTTGTAAACATGCCCCTGAAAGGATGTGAAAGGGGCTTCTTGAATGATCATAGATTATCAGTGGCACAGTGAGTTAAACCGCTGAGCTGCTGAACTTGCTGACCAAAAGGTTGGCTGTTTAAATCCAGGGAGCAGAGTGAGCTCCCACTGTTAGCCCCGGCTTCTGCCAACCTAGCAGTTCGAAGACATGCAAATGTGAGTAGATCAATAGGTACCACTTCGGTGGGAAGGTACCAGTGCTCCATGCAGCCACATAACCTTGGAGGTGTCTACAGACAACACCAGCTCTTTGGCTTAGAAATTGAGATGAGCACCACCTCCCAGAGTCAGACATGCCTAGATGTAAAGTCAAGGGAAAACCTTTACCTTTACACAGTATTATCCTACATATGCAGAAAGAAAGATTAAAGGAATAAGGTGCTTACTGGGTAACATTTCAAACTAGGATAAGGAAAGTTCATCTTACTAAAACAAGCATTTTTAGTAGAATATCTGCTACTGCTTTTCATGCACTCACATTATTTACCAATTATTTATTTCTTTATGTAATTTTCTCCCTGTAGGAGACCCAAAGTGGCTCAAAATTTGAATCAAAACAAAATAAAGCAAAGATAGTGCATTGTACTGCAAAGAAAAACAAGTGTAACCTCTGATATCTTGCATTGTCTCTTCTGATATTTTCTCATTTTTGTTTACTTTCAGATTTGGGGCAAACAGTTCGGATTATTTTATATTCCCTGATCTTTTTGCTCAGTGTCCTGGGCAACACCCTGGTAATGATTGTGTTGATCCGAAACAAGAGAATGAGGACTGTCACAAACATCTTCCTGCTGTCGCTGGCCATCAGTGATCTCATGCTTTGTTTCTTCTGCATGCCTTTCACCCTCATTCCCAACCTCCTGCAGGATTTCATTTTTGGAAGTACTTTCTGTAAAATTACCAGCTACTTCATGGGTGAGTTTATGGACCAGTAATGCCTCTCTGCCAGGGATGTAGACATTTTCAAATTTCTATATTGATGTGTGTGCTGAGAAATTTTTGGTCACCTTATCAAGAACTGCTTGCCTGTGTAGAAGTTCCAGGGCCCTTCTTCTCTATGTTATTACCTTGATAGCCAACTTTTTCTCCATGGAGCTCTAAATGGAGTATGTTGTTTCCCGCATTTTATCTTCCAAACTATTTTGGGAGGTAAATTGGGCTGAAAGAGAATAACAGTCCCAAAGTGACACCCGAACATTTAGGCCAAAATAGACAACACATGACTTATAATCATAATAGCCTCCCTCATACCTTTTTGCAGTCATCAGGGCACCTCTGAATTTGCTCCCACAGCAGAGGCTAAAACCACACATTTTCACATTTATATTCATTGCACTCCCACCAAATTTGGGAGTGAAGCAAAAATACACCTTGCAACACAAGCAGTTTAAAACAATCATTATGAAAGTGCTCACCATTTCCCAGCAGTAATTAACTTCTACACAAGGCACACTTTCCTGCGTGCCGTGTTTTAAAGTGGAAATATTCATTTGTAAGAGCTGGAGTGAGTGCCGATGTCATTTCTGTTTTTTGTGATTGTTTAACCAAGTCAAGGAGTGGAGGCAGCAGTGAACCCCTCTCAATCAAACTGCTGCACACTTCTACAGTATATTGTGCTCTTTAGTTGACACCCAGTTGGCGTGGATGCTGCCCGAAGCTGTGGTGGGTCCCCCTTGTGAAGCACAGCTATTAGGCCTGTCGGTTTCGTTTCGTTAATTCGTTATTTCGTATTTAAATCGTTATTTTTTGCATATCCGAAGCGATATCAAAACATATTTTCAAACCCGGAAGGGTTTTAAAATATCGAAGCAGCAGCCCCATTTTTTTTACGCGCTGAAGCTCCGCTCGTTAATGGGATGGAGGCTGCTGGTGCCTGGGAGCCAATCCAGCGCTCCCAAGCACCCCAGCAGTAACGTTGCGGGCGGGGCGAGAGGGGCAGCGCGAGGAATAGGAGGTCGCAGGGAAAGCGGCGGGCGAGCCCATCCAAATGCAGCTCCGGGCTGCGGCTGCTGCACCGATCCTCCTCCTCCTCCTAAAAACGCAATACCTAACTCCTCCCCATACTGTGTTGCAGGAAGTGCGGTGAGGATGAGGAGGAGGAGGAGGCGCAGCAGCAGCGGCAGCGGTCGGATGGCGCGGCGCGCTCCTGCGCCCTCCTCCTCCTCCTCCTCCTCCCGGCACTTCCTGCAACACAGCTTGGGGAGGAGGAGGAGGAGGAGGAGGGCGCAGGAGCGCGCGCGCCATCCGATCGGCTCCGGCTGCTGCGCCCTCCTCCTCCTCCTCCTCCTCCCGGCACTCCTCGAGAGAAAGGCCGAGCGCGGGGCCACAGGCAGCCCTTCACGGTCCGGGATGCCCTACAAGCTGAAGAAGGAGAAGGTGAGGAGGGGCCCCTCTCCCCAGCAGGGAAGGTCTTGGCGCAAATGGGAGGGGAAGCAAAGCTGGCCGGGCCTCGCAGGGAGAGAGCCAGGAAGGCAGGCCTCTTCTCTGGGCCTTGGATGGGCCACTGCAGCAGAAGCAATTGCCTTTCCCATGGCAAGAAACAGGATTTGCAGCCATGCCAGCCCAGTCCCTCCCCAGCACACAAACATATGTCTATTTGCCCTACATAGGCCTGTTTGATCAAGAAAAAATTTGTTTCTAAAATGTTTCGTAAATATTTACGAAATTTCGTAAATAACAAAACATTTTTTTGGAAAGTTTTGTAAATATTTTAAATATCGAAACAAAAAAACACCCCAATTAAGAATCGAATTTAGAAACAAATTTTTTCTTGATCAAACAGGCCTAACAGATACCCTAAAGTACTTCCCATGCTTTCTGGCAACTGCACATGGCAGGGAACATTATTAGTGGTGTGGGCAAGCTGCCCTTCAACTCGCCAACTATTAGAGAATTTTTTCATGGAGGAACTCCTAATAAAACTATCCCTTTCAGCACCTTAGAGAGCTCCTTCAAAGTTCAGACTAAAATGCAAAGTGGATTCACCACTCCCATCAACACAGAACACACCAGTTGCTGCTATCTTTCAAAGGGTTCGCTGAAAACCATAATGAACAATGTAAACATATGCAATGTCCTCCATGTATGTGGTGCTTTTGTGAAAGTTTTGGTTCCCCCCAAGATACAAAGCAATTCCTTTAACCTTTATCCTATTTATTGTAATCTTCCCAAGTGGATACAAGTGGATTTTGATTTTTTTTAAAGCCCAGAATTACATTGAAGAATTTGAACCAAGCTTTTAATATATGCCTAAGATTCAGTGAGTCTTGGACTGTGCTCCCAGTGTCCTTAGGATACAGGCATCTTTTTCGTCTTCTATAATCTATACGTGTGCTTATGGGTAGTATGGTCAATGAAATTAACGTCATTGTTGCTAGTTGTCAGCACTGAAGTGTAAGAAGTCTTACTTGGGTATTTATATATTGCCACTGCCAACAAAGATCGAATACAGTTTTTGTTTGGAGGTAGGAGGAATTGTTGTTGTGGTTTTGTTGTCAGTATTTTAGAGTATATTTGCACTACATAGGTACAGCACTTTAATGCCATTTAAATGGCAGGGCTGTATCCTAAGAAATCCTGATATTTGATAACGCGTGTAGAATAATCTGCTGTAGTTCAGTGGTTCCTGTAGGGCTCTCAAACAGAGAATTATTAAGGTGCCCAAAAACAATTACTCAGACCATTGCAGAATGGAAAACAGATGCTCAAGTAAATTTCTGGGATACTCTGTATAAAAGGGGTGAGCCTATATCTAAATACTAGTGAAACTAGAAGATCTAGAAATCAAGAACTTTTTTAAAAAAATCATAGTACATCTTAATACAACTGTATCTCTGTTCTTAGAATTAAGATGTCTTGAAAGAATAGAGAACATGAAAGGAAAGTGATTACAGCATATGGAAATAAAATGTATTATTGAAAAATGGCAAAATTAGCCTCAGCATAATATTTCTTATCCATTGTAATGGATACATTTACAGATGTCTACCTTCAGAACAAAGACTGTCATGGCCATCAAGGTTTCTCCCTTCACATGAGTAAACCATAAGTAATGTGTTTCAAAAATATGGACCTGATTTGAAATCGCTGTATCTCTGCACCCACAAACTGCCCAAGAATGAAACTCTTACCAATAGAAAGGATGGGATATAGAGTTTCAGATTATTGTGGCTAAATGCTTCTCCCAGCACAGAAATAGCCCTTAGCCTTGGTTATTTGCAAGATAGCAACCCCACATCATAAGGTGTTCTGCAGTTCAGCAAAACAGCTTCTATAATTGTGATGCAATGTGCATTTCAATGATGTTTTAGCGAGTAAAACTTGATAACTCATTTAATCATGTGTAATGTCTTGTGTAATTGTAACATGGTGCCACCATGATATTTATTGCTATCATTATTATCCTGAATTTTGTCAGTTTACAAAATGTTATTTTAATGTGGAGGAGCAGTTTAAAGCAAGCATTTCACCCTTTCTCCTTTCAATGTTTTTAAACCGACAAGAACAAATAGATACGGATGTGCTTCCACATCTGCAGATTCACTTCTGTGGATTAAATTGGTCATGGATTTGATTAATATGTTATCTCTAGGTCATCCACTACAACACTATGGTCAATTTCCAGCGGAAGCTAATTCTAGAGTGATGCTGGAGGACCAAGAGATTTTTAGACAGAATAGTGCTCTAAACATTTTTGGGTACTCCAGATCAATTCTATTGAAAGTTACCCATAAAGTTGTGATGGAGGCCAAAAAGCCAAAATTGAGCTATCCACCAAAGGGATGAGATGATGATCCGATCCCTGTTGTGCCTACCACTTTTAAACCAGATCAGCATGCAAATTAGATTTGAAGCCTGCAAGAACAGAGGTTTAATACTTTCAGGCCTGAAAGGATGTCTGTTACAGAGTCTCCACTTAGAATGAATTGGACATAAGCAAGCAATATAGTGCAAGACGTTTTATCGCGTTTGACAGCCATTCAAAGTCCCCACGATCTCCCCTGATTGGCCAGGAAACTGACTGATTTCCATCTTTGTTGGCTTGGAAATCCCATTGATATCAGAGATGGATGGCATCTTCTTCGTAGCAGGAAAAAAAGAGCTGTCATTTGTTAGTTCGAAGTTGGAGCTGTTTGGAGAATCCGTTCAGGAGGAGTGGTCTGGACTGGCAAAATAGTTTGAGGCAATATGTAAACAGTTCAAGATGAGATTATTGACTAAGTCTGGTCTGAGGTGTGAGCCTCAGAGAACAATGGGGCTGTTATGTAAATATGAACAGTTCAATAGAAGGCATACAGATTTAATCAGTGTGCTGTTTGTACCTGGCCGTATCCAATCGCTGGATCCCCTCAGAAGATGGGGTTCTTGTTGGCAGGATTTGGCCCTTCCTGCCAGCATTGTCTCCTTCAATGGGCTCTTGGAAACAGGCTTCTTCCCTCCCTGCTGTCCTTCTCATGGCAGGCTAAAACCTTTTTATTCAGGCAGGCTTTTAAAGCAGAAGGATTTTCAAGTCAAGTCAAGAGGTGCTGTGATTTAACTCTGAATCTGTTTTAAGGATTTTTACAGTTTTTAAAATTTCTCTTTTAATTTTTATATGTTTTTGGGTTTTAAATTACATTGAATTGGTTGTATTGTAAGCTTCTTTCAGTCTCATTTGTGGAGAGAGAAAGCAGGGTATAAATCATTATTATTATTATTATTATTATTATTATTGGTAAACTGGAAAAGCTGACATGATATGAGGATTTAAAGATCGAACGGCAAAGACTAGTCAAGGTGGTCCCAGTGGTGATCGGCACACTGGGTGTAGTGCCTAAAACCTGCACTTAAACACAATCAGCGCTGACAAAATTACCATTTGTCAGCTGCAAAAGGCTACCCTACTCAGATCTGCATGCATTATTCGCCGATACATC